TCAACCAAGAAATATCAGAGTTGAACCAATCCTTTGAATAAATGGACTTAACATATATAATGCTCCACCCAAGAACAGAATATAGTCCATATGGCAGCACATGAAACTTTCTCCAAAATAGACCACATACTACCTAAAAAAGCATGCTTAAATAGAATGAAAAGAGTAGTAATTTTACCATGCAGATGAAAGTATAATAAAACTAGAAATTAAGGGCAAAAGAAATCACCAAAGTTATGGAAACTCATGGAAATTAAACAACACACTTCAGAACAATCATTGGGTCACTGAAGATATCAAGGAAGAAATAAGACAGTCCTTAGAATTAAGTGATAATGTCAATACAAATACCAGAATTTATTTAATTACACAATGAAAGGAATCTTAAGGGGAAGTTTATATCTGTGAGTTTCCCATACCAGAAAAAAAAAAGAGCAAGCCCTAATAAGTAAACTAATGATGTATCACAGGTCCTAGAAAAAAGAACAAATCATATCCAGAGCCAATAAAAGGAAGAAAATTATAGAGTTCAGACCAGAAATTAATGAAATGGAGACTGAAACAATACAAAGAATTAATCAGTCAAAGAGCTGGTTCTTTGAAATGATAAATAAACCTTAGTCAACCTTACCCAAAACAAAAGAAAAGATACAAATCAATTAAGTCAGTATTAAAAAGGAGAGATCACAACAGACACCACCAATGTCCAGAAGATTAGCAACAACTGTAAAACCTGTATGCCAATAAACTATAGAAATCAGAAGAGTGGAAAGATTCCTAAATATATATAAACTACTAAAACTGAACCAACACTTTAAAATGTGGAATAACAGGTAATGATATTGAAACCGTAATAAAAAAAAAAACTAACACCAATACTCCTCAAACTATTTTTTATATATATTTTATTGGTACAGTTTAGGTATACAACATAATGACATTCACCATTGCAGATTTGTACCTTTCTATAATATATCTTAATTCTTATTTTCCCCATATCCTGACCTCCCTTCAACCCCTCCACAGTTCTCTATTTACAAAGTCTTGTAAATGGATGTATAATGAGGCGATACTCTTAACTGAACAAAATAGGACACACATGTATAAATACTGAATAGTTTTTCTGGTGTGAGAAACTGAAAGTGGAAATGAGGATGAAAATGTATAACAGACAATGTGAAATAGGAAGAAAACATGCAAAGGGGAAAGGAAAGAGGGGAATGGAATTAATATGAGAAAATGAAAAAAAATGGTAACTCCTCAAACTCTTAAATAAAACTGAGAAGAATACACCCAAAGTCAGACAAGGATCCAACCAAAAAGAGAAAACTACAAGCTAAACTCTCTACTGAAAATAGATGCAAAACTCCTCAACAAGATACTAGAAAGCAGAATTAGATAAATCATCAAAAGTTCATGCACCATAGTCAAGTAGGCTTCATCCCAAATGCCAGGATGGTCCAATATATGCAAATCAATAAATGTAATCCATCACATAAACAGAAACAAGGACAAAAATCACAAAAGCACCTCAATACACATAGAAAAGATGACCAAACTCCAACAACCATTCACAAAAACATCCTAAAGAAAATAGGCATAGAAGGATCTGACTTCAATCTGATAAAAGGTATTTATGGTAAATCTACTGCCAGCATCATATTAAAAGAGGGAAAATGGAAAGCCTTCCCTCTAAACTCAGGAACAAGACAAGGATGTTCACTATTAACACTCCTGTTCAATATAGTCTTCAAAACATTAGCCAGAGCAACCAGGAAAGATAAAGAAATAAAAGTAATACATATAAGAAAGGACAAAGTCAAAATATCATTATTTACAGATGATATGATCTTCTTATTTACAAGACCCAAAAAGCTCCCAGAATTAATAACCAAACTCAGTAGTGTAGCAGGATATAAAATCAACACACAGAAATCAATAGCATTCCTATACATTAATAATAAACTCACTGAGCAAGAAATTAGGAAAACAATGCCATGCATAATAGCATCAAAAATTAAATACCTAGAAATTAATTAATAGGGACATTAAAGATTTATACAACAAAAGTTACATCATTCTGAAAAAGAAGACGGAAGAGGACATCAGAAAATGGAAAGATATCCCATGCCCTTGGATAGGCAGAACCAATATTGTCAAAATGGCGATAACTCAAATCTAATGCAGTCCCAACAAAATACCAGCAGCATTTTTCACAGATCGGAGAAAACAACCGTAAAAGTTATATGGAACCAGAAGAAACCCAGAAGACCAAATTTGTCCCTAGTTGATCAAATATCATATGATGGTCATTTATTTTGCTTTTAAAAATTATGTCCAGAAATCACATCTTCACGTGAATGTACACATTTCTCCAAATCACTGAATTGTTAATTCACAACAAGTAAGCTTTTTTCCAAGGACTATAAGGTTCAAAATTTAACAAAGAGCATTGTTTAAAGTCATACTAGAGAAATACTGCCTACTTCCAACAGGAAACAAAAACTCAAATAGTTTCTCTAGTGTGAGAAATTGAAAGTGTAAATAAGAACTAGAAGGTATAATAGAAAATGTGAAACAGGAAGAAAAGCTGCAAAGGGGAAGAGGAAGTGGGAAGTTTAGGGGAAAAGAAAGATGGGAATGGAATTAACATGAGAAAAAGAAAAATGTAAACAAAGTCTTTGTAGATAGGAAGGGGTAGAGGGGTTGAAGGGTGGAAAGGGGAATGGGGAAAAAATAAGAACCAAGATGGATTATGTAAAGGTGAAAATTTCCAGTGATGAATGTCACTACACTGTATACCTTAAATGTATCAATAAAATTAATTGTAAAAAAAAAGACTCCAGAAGAAAACCCTGATTTGGTGTCCTGTTCCTGAGCTCCCACATCCAAATGAGTCCCTGGACATCAAGCACTGCTCAAGCTGACACACAGCCTCTTCCCTTGTCAACTACTCCAGGTCCATGTGAGGACATACAACAGATATGTGCATATGACCAATACCCATTTCCTCCCTCTGCTTCCACACATAGCAGGAGAGGCATGGCCAGGTGCAGCCAAGTCAATGGAAGACTTGAAGTACTGCAACACTTGGCAGCCCTGTATCAGTTCCAATCACCCTTCTTTCTAAGGTAAACCCATCTTTCCCAGCATCTTCGGGCCTATGGCCAATCATATATAACTACTCACATTCCAATATGTATTAAGTCACCCACTCATTTTGCAACCTTTGAAAGCACGAACAGATAGTGAAACACTAGGACAGAGAGACCTAGAAAGGGCAGCACTCATCAGTCCACCAGTGGCCTTCCTTGACACAGTTATACAAAGTCATACCAGTCATGCGAAAATTTGAGTTGTACTTATTAAATGCAACTGCAAACATGTACTGTCTCATTTTACCCTTACGGTAGACAGTACTGTGTCTGTGAAATAGTACAAATGAATTCCAGGTTTTGTCTCAGTTGCTGCATGCTGCTACAAAGGAAGGCTTGAGAGCACAGAATGGGAAGTTATTTCTCAGTTTTAGCGGCTGGCGAGTCCTGGGTTCAGGCACTGGCACCTGGCCACTGCCAGCCTTCCATGTCCTTACTTGGCTATGGTCACTCTGCCATGTCCTCACCTGGTTGGGGCTGCCCTGCCATGTCCTCACAGAGTGTGACAGCTAACTAACTGTGTCAACTTGAGAAATAAACATCCAACTAAATTGGATCAGCACAGTTCCAGGTGTTACTGAGAGGATTTACTGAAGACAGAAGACCCACTCTGGGTAGGCTTGTCACCTGAATGGTAGAAGAGATAAGAAGGAAGGCTCGCATCTGTTACTTTGGAGGAGCTTCAGTCTTCATCTTCACCTTGGACAATGTATCCTGGTTTCCAGTACAAACCCCTCAGCCTTCCATTTAAGACCTTTCGGCTTCCTGATGGACTCCCATGGGACACTACACTGAGCTCCTCAAGTGTTTGGTTCAGTCTCCAGGGCACAGAGAGCATTTGTTGCACTCTTCCACACCTGGCTCTGCAGGTAGCCACTTAAGCCTATATTGTAAATTCTTATATATTTGTATATCTTGCATTAAATCTGTTTCTCTCATGAGCACTGGTTGACATGCACAGAGAAGGTAGAGGGGCCACCAATTTCAGCGCCTGAATGTTCCTCGCAGCTCACAGCATCACTGTATCGCCTCACAAATGCCATCAAAAAAGCTATCACAAATTTTAATATGAGGTTTCGGAGGGACAAACACGGGGTACCTCTGTGAGAAAGCAGCAGGAGATCTGAGATACAGAGAGGAGACAAAGCCAGGTTCAGATGCAGGCAGGGGCTGGCATGGCACAGCCTCCAGCCAGCGATCTGCAGCACAAAGAGGCTTCTCCCTCAGAACGTAAGAAGAGCTGACCTGCTGACCTCAAATCCAAACTCCTGGCCCCCAGAAGTGAGCAAAAACCTCTATGGGCTGAAGCCTCCAACTTCATGGGAATGTGGTCCTGCAGCCCTAGAAAGCTAAACAAGAACATGTGTGTGTCCAGGACAAAAGAGTGTATGTTAGCATCTGCTCCATGTATGTGCAGGACATGTAAGAGTCTGGGTGGGGAGCAATGGGCAATTTCATTGGAATAAGGGGTCTAGCTTAGAAAAGGACACCCTCGGTGATACAGCATCATCTTGTCTTATTGATTCTTATTTTAATCCCATAATTTAAAGAAAATAAACCATGTAATGCAAGGCCTTTCAGAGTTTGTGCTCAGTGCTTGTGAGGTGACTAACAGATGAATGAATTAGTGAATGGCTAGTGTTTATTGTGCATCACTTAAAAATAGGAAAGTCTTTCACCTTTCACACATCACGGTTACTAAACTGCGACTACTGTGCAAGTCTCAAAATAGTGACCAGCAGTCGAGCTTAGAATAGATTTGTTTCCTTCTATGCCACAACATCGAAGAGTCTACATGACAACATCATCTTGAATCCCTACAACAGGAGACTGAAGCCCACGTACATGTCTGTCCTCGGCGCCACAAACCAAAAACCGGCCACATGGGCTGAGGGCCATGCCACAGGGGTAGGAGCGGTTCGGGTGTCCTTGAAATCGGCGTTCACACCTGTTGGGGCAGAGAGAAAAACCTGAATAGAACTCAGTTTTTCGTCTTAATTCAAACTACAGAACGGAGACCACTTGCTTTCCTCACAAAAAGAAACAAAGGAATAGAGGAAAAGCTTTTGCCTCCATGGTGCTGGCAAGAAAACATAGGACCTTGTGCATGCTAGGCAAGTGTGCTACTACTAAGCTACATGCTGGAAAATATTTTATATGTGAGAATCAGTACATGGTAGGCAATTAAAAGGATTTTAAGAATAATTCAAATGATTTTCAAAGTTAAATTCCCAAAGATGACAAAATTAACAATAAATTAACTTTATGTATGAGAAATATTAAATAACCATTTTCTTTTTTTTTGGTACTGGGGATCGAACTCAGGTCCTTGTGCTTGTGAGGCAGGCCACCGAACTGCTGAGCTAAATCCCCAGCACTTTTTCTTTTTCTTTTTCTTTTTTTTTTTGGTAAATAACCATTTTCTACAGATCATTAAAATGTAAAAACATAACCTTCTGAAATCATACTTTTTTAGAATAATGATTCAAAACTGTTGGGGTTATAACATTCTAGCAGGAGGGGCTTAAATTACACAGCCAACTATTTATGAAACACTATATAACACGCTTATTATAAAAACTGTCAGGGAATTTATGCTATTGATATTGGAAGACTGTCCACACCCTTTGCAAGGAACCAAGGTCTTCCTAACTAAGCAGACCATCAACAACCTAGGCCATCACTGAGCCTGACATGGCCAGACAGGCCCAGGAGTAGGGGCAGGCCCTGTTCCCACAGCACACACCAGGATTCTGTGTTAGTTCTGGAGATGAAACAGCAGAGCAAACACGAGCAAACACACATCTAACTGCACCCCAGGGAATAACTCACCAGGAGGTACAAATATTAATAGCATCAATGTTTCTGCACTGTCTATATGCTGAATAGTGATTTTCCCCATGGTATAATTATCTGTGAATTTTTTTTAACTTAAAGAAGATTTTACATTTTGTATATGTTTACAAAATACATTAAGTAACTTTAGCGAGTCTTCAGCAATGCCCTCCCAAGGGGAGAAAAGTGACTTCACAAGGTAAACAAAGCAGGCGTGGCCTAAGGTGCCCTGGGTCCTCCTCCCACGATCAGCCAGACAACTGGGCACGGTCCACGGTTAAGCCAGGATGCTGCTGGTCAGGACACCTGGCCCCTCCTGCTCCTCTAGGCCCTAGGAGCCACATGTGAGGGAGCAGCACCTGCTACCTGGCCACTCACCATCTCCAGGCACACATCGCTCTCCTCTCACAGCACATGTAGATTCCTGAACTTGAATCAGACACTGGGATGTGTCTCTCACTCCAGCCCCGCAGCCACAGTGCTGTGACACAAGCCAGCCTCACCTCAGAGTCCTCAGGTCCCACAGTCCAACTCCGTCACCAACAGCTGTGGTCAGGAAGAGATTATATGCCTGGGACTGTTGGGTCGTAAATGACGATCCCTGTAATCACAAGGAGAAAATCAAGATGTATTTTCAGAGGCTGAATGTAAAACCATTATTCTAATGATACCTAACAATAACTGGATCTAAACACACTTTCTCTTCCAAATGGCAAAAGCTTAACAAAAAATAGTTTCATTTTTAAAAATAATAAGAGGTGGGCTGGGGATTTGACTCAGTGGCACCTGTGCCTGCCTTGCAAGCGCAAGGTCCTGAGTTTGATCCCCAGTACCAGAAAAAAAAAATGATAAGAGGAAGCCAGGCTTGCTGGACATACTTGTAATTACAGAACCTTGGGACATTGAGGGAGGAGGATCACAAGTTTGAGCCTACCCTGGGCAACTTCACAAGACCGTGTCCCAAAATTTAAAAAGGCCTGGAGGTAGCTTAGTAGGAAGGCCCTGGGCTCAATCTTCAGTACTACACACACACACACACACACACATACTCACAAAAAAGATGAAAGGAATAACCCTCCCAAGGAAAGATCTATACAACATAACTATGCCTAATAACATGGTCTATAAATACATAAAGTAAAACAGAGTTATAAGGATAAATATGAGAAAATTACAACCATTGTGGGAGATTTTAAATGTTTCCTTTGCTAGCTAAAAAAAATCAAGCATATAAAAATGAAGAGGACTTGAACTTAAAAGAATTAACAAGATTGACCCAAGGGGGATCTATGTAAACATAGCTAGCCAGTGTCTAGTAAAAACACATTCTTTTCATACACATATCTAATATTTCTTTAATACATAAGCCAGGGAGCCAGATTTCTCAATGTATACAAAATCTCAAAAAATATCAAGAAAATTGCTATTGCATAGAATCCATGCCCTGAACCACACCATGACATTAGAAATCAGTAATAAAACAGATTTCTAAAAATTAACTTGTATACATATACATGGAAATCTAAAAGCACACCTCTAAATAAAACCTGGACTAGGCTGGGGATTTAGCTCAGTGGTTCCAGAGCCTGACCTGAGTTTAATCCCCAGTGCAAAAAAAAAAAAAAAAAAAAAAAAAAAAAAGTAATCATTGTTATTATCAAAAGTTGCTTTATAAACCCCAAAAAAAAAAAAAAAAAAAAAAAAAAAAAAACTGGACTGAAAAATATCATAATGTATATTAGAAAACATTTAGTGTTGAGTAGTAATATAAATGGCATGTGCCAAAACAGAAAAAGAACAATTAAAGAATATGTGGAAGGAATGCAACTATGAGAAATGCATCAAAATGGATAAAACACAAACACATGGAATAAAAATGAAGTAGCACAGAGATATGTATGAAAGAGCAGCACATAGACCAAAGCTCTGCATTGTTTTTAAGTATACACTTGAGAAAGGGTCACACCAAATCCAGGAGTGGTGGTCAAAGAGGAATAACCAGGAGGGAGAAAGAGAACAGAGCAATATCTGCATCAATAATCATTTCATTTATTTTGATAAAAGCACAGTAAGATCTAACACTAATACAGCAAAAGATCAACATGTCACCATGCTGAAATCTAAACTCTCCTGTGTAATATTTTTTGTTTAAATTTTAAGTGATTCTTAGTTTTTCAATTCAAATTATCTGTCCAGTACTATATATGTACATCATAAAAAGCAAATATCATATTGAAAGACAGAAAATAAGAGTAGCAGCCTGTCAAACTTTTAAAATAAAGATGAAAAACCTGCTATGATTGTAAAGATCTTATGTGTTCTCAATCTAAAAACGAGCCATTTAATGATGTTACAAAAAAACACAGCCACCCTCCTAGATGTAAGCTTTCTTGTTAATGCTGTGGTGAAGGGAATTAAACAAGTTCTGCTGGCCCAACATAAGTAAGACAAGAAACAGAGTGATTTTCAGAGCAGGTTATTCTAGCAATTAGAGGTTAGAGCACTCAAAAGAAGCACTGTAGGTGTATTTTGTTAACTCAAAGGAAATTGGACACAGCCTATTTTACATTTTACTGGAAATGGGACATCTGGATCAGTCTGTACTACTCCTACAATGGATTTGCTGGGTGGGTGGGGTATGCAAGCGGCAGTGTCCACATGGCTGTGGGTAGTCTGAACACTGTGATGTGCACTGAATAAATGCACAAAAATGAAAGTGACGTCTTCAAAACACAAGCCTTTAGACATGGTGTAAACCTCTGTAACCTCACCCTTCTTCACTTTCATTCCATCATATACCCATCAAAAATGTTTATTTTCAGGAAATAAAACCAGTTATTTTCCCATAAAACAATCCAGAAATATTTCTCCTGGTATAACACCTCTCATCCAAGAGCGCACCAAAATGCTTCCCAAACTATGACAACCATCCCTGGCAGTCTACTTAGACCTCGAGAAGTTGGCCTGCAGGCTGCCATAGTGTAGCAGACGCCTAAGCAGTGTCCTGAATTAAATCACTATAACTCAAGAAAGAGACTTTAAGAGAAAGGAATATTCCTTGGCCCGGCAAATTAGGTGGGTCACTGGTCTCTAGGAAGGAAGCCAGGCAAGACTTGCAAAGGCATGGCTCCACACAGGGCCACCTTGTAAAAGGGAATGGAAATGCCCAACATGCCTCTCGGGAAACACCTCCTGCAGGGACACTGTCTTCAAGACCCCATTTCAACTGTCTAGATATTCATGGAGAAGGCAATGTCTCCTTTGTCCTCAAATACTATCCGCAGACAAATTAATTCATCAGTCTTTCAACATGGACTTGGATAGTGAGCACATAAGCACTCCCCCTGCCTTGGGTCTGCACACGATGCTAGCTGCCCCTTCGAGACCTGAGCCAGAGAAGGCACCAGCACAGATATTTGAGCAGAGGGAGCGAATTCTGAATTGAGGTTCATGATCAAAGCAGGGGAGAGCATCAGCCAAGAATATCCAGATAAATGAAGGGAAGGTATGAGAGCCTTAAGCCAGGGCATGTCCACTCCTTCTGGTGCTCTGAGCTTGAAGGGCCAGGCCTGGGACCCAGCCTCACAGTCCAGCTCCCAGCAACAGTGCACAGCTCTGCCTGAAAAAAAAAAAAAAAAACTGATCCCATCAACAAACAGGTGCAAAGTTCAATTGTCACATCTTCCTCTGGGCTATAACAACATCACCTTAGTAATTATACCACTGGCCCTTTGCACCTACAGTCTGAACAGCCAAGTTCCATTCTAATAGCTGAGCATACACCCCTCACAGCAGCTGTAGGCCACTCATTTTACACATAGCACCTGCATATCACTCTTACTCAAACTTTGGGATCCCTGCCCTGCACCCAAAGCAAATCCCAGAGCCCTAGCCAGGACCCACTAGACCAGGGAACACTCCACTGTTTGTCCCTCAGCTTCAACATACTGGCCCCACTTCCTGCATTCTACTCCTATAAATGCACACCTGGACCCCTTCCTACTTAGGTATCTGCTGCTTACAAGTTATCTGATCATCACAGAACACTTGATCAGTGCAAGCACTTTTCCTCTGAGAGAAGCTTTCCTCAAGCACAAAGATTTTGTTCTCTGCTCTTATGTGTCCACGGAACAGTGGCAAGCACAGAATAGATATTGTTAAATTAAATGGGTAGGTGTATACAAACATATGCATATCTGTGCACACATGCATGCATGCGTACATACAGGTTTGTGCATACACAGGTTTGTGCATAGCCATACATTTAGGGATATACTCACAGACACCTGTATGCATATATATATATTTTTTCCCTTATATGCACACATGTAAGAATCCAAGCACACATACAGGCATGCACATGTGTACATACATACATACATATACAGTTGAAGGTGGAAGAGTTAAGGTGGACTGACAACTTGATTGGCTTGAGAGCCCCTAAGGGATTAGAAAAATACATTCCTAGATGTGCCCAGGTGGGTTCAAAGAGCTGTGAATATGGGTACTATATCTGGTTCCTAACCCCTTTCTCTCTGGTGCTGTACCCCTGATTTGCTTTCCAGACACTGTGAAGTAAACAGATTTGGGTTTTTTGTTTGTTTGTTTGTTTTTTAATACCATGCTCTTCTGTCATGATATTTCTATCTTGAAGCCATATTATTCATGGAATGAACTCTCTGAAACTGTAGGCCAATTAAACCTCTTCTCCTTTAAGTTCTATGCAAGTAGGAGGTGGGGGAGGGGTCCTTGAAAATTGTCCCAGTACTGGGATATCTCATACAGAAAACTGGTACCAAAGAATTGGGGTCATTACTATGACTAAACCTGACAATAGGTAGAAGCATTTAGAACCAGATTGGTGGTTGGAGTTTTAAAAAGTTGGGAGAAACAGGCTAGAGAAAGCCTAAAATGCTATAAACAGAGACTGATGATAGACAATTCTGAATGAAGCTCAGGAGATCAGAATGATTGCAAGAATGCAGACAAGAAAGGCCAGGTTCAAGAAGTTTCAATTGGAAACAAGAACTCTACTGAGGATTGGTCTACAGGCCACGAATGTTATACACTAGCAAAATAAATTTGTCTACATTCTGTCCTGATATTTTGTGAGAAGCTAAGTTTAAGGGCAATAGATAAACTAATCTTCTGGAGGAAATTTCAAGGTTACCCAACATTCTGGATATGGCATGGGTACTTCTGGCTGCTTTTATCCAGATTAATATTTGAAAAACTGAAATTTTGGTTGGAAGGAACCATGTATAAAGTTGGGGCCAAAGGATGTGTCATTGCTGAAGAGCTTATTAATGTTAAAAAAAAAAAAAAAACAAGTACTTGGAACTAGGACAAGAAAAGATACATTAAAAACATCTTAGGAATCAGTAAGACCCCACCAACACAGGTTCAAGATGTAGAACTATAGATCTTTCATTTTCCCCAAGCCTCCTGCTCCAGAATGGCTGCTAGGGAATTGGTTCTCCGAGATTCATTTCACTATGCTCAGCCATCCAGGCACTCACAGGCTGCCACAGTTTGGGGGTTGGGGGGCTCAGCTACTACTCCTCCTGACAGCAGAACTTGGTATGGTTGTTAAGGTGTGAA